AAACAAAAGTGTTTGTCATATGTTTTTGTATGAGTTTATGTTAATTTGTGCACGGTCACGGTGATTGAGCTCATTGTATTTTCGTATAATGAAGCAACCGTCCAATAGGGATAGCCGAGATGAAACGTGCAGCCACGATGAATAATATTTAATGAAGTTGAGACAAAGGATTTGTGCACAGTGAGGCACAGTTCAATATCAAACAAAGGTCTTCTATTTTGTGGCTTTGAAGTTTGCTAGGATTCCAGACCATCATATCTTAATAGACTATGGTATATTAGACGCACGTTTGAAACTATATATACCGTAATTACCATAGATATCTTATATACACTAGATAGCGCATCTCATTTAGCAAAATTGAAGCCAAGAATATTCCAGCGGTTACCCCCATTTGAATAGATGGCGGCCATGTTGGTCGTTCCCACTTGCTAATAAACGCTTAAAAACAACAATAACTTTCATCATTTGAATAGTTTAAAAACGTATTTGGAATAGGGTTAACTTAATGTTTAAGTTCCCTGTTTGAGAAATAGAAAACATACGAATCTTCTCATTTCATGGGAACGACCTGAGACTGCAATCACGGCTTCAATTTTTGAATTGCAGAATAATTAGATGCACTATCTAGTGTATATAAGATATCTATGGTAATTACATGTAGCATTTCAATAGACAATAAAACCAGTAATTCACAACAGATCATTCACACCAAATAACTTAAAGCGTTTTTCTTCATTTTCATTGCCAGATAATCAGTGTAAAATATGAAGAATCTAACATTTTCTCAAAAGCGAAGTTTAACAGTTTTCGCATTTTCTGCGCGAATGTTCTTGAGGGGAGCAGAGGAGGCGGTGATATTACCCTCTATATGGCCATATTTACAAATGTTCCACGCTGACTATTGGTATCTTGGACTGGTATTGTCTGCTTATTACACAGTTGGCATTGCCTCCGCCATCTTGGTTGGCCGTCTCGCAGACCGAAATATGAATCTTCGATTTTCTGGAATTGTTTGAAATCTAGCTGAGGTAAGCATTATTTTACTGCCTAGAGATATGTTCAAATCAAGCTCTAATCTAATCCAACCGGTTGAGGTAACCTGGTTGAGGTAACCATTACTGTATTTCGAAGAAATTTTTCAAATCCGATTCAAGTCTGAGCGAATCGCATTTCTATCGTAACAATACGCATGGAGAAAGCTTTTTGGTCTTCTATTTAGATTTCAGCGCTTTTTTAACACAAAAATTAGAACATGGGCTGATTTCGGGGTGAACTAAAGGAAGGACAGGAGCGAGAGAGGGTAACCAGTGCTATAGCAGGGCAACCGTACCCCACCTGCAGTTTCTAAAGAAACTTTAACCATGAAAGCATTCGTGGGCTCTAAATTACGGTATAGATACATGTATATTCATAGCATGGAATTTCAGGCAAAGTGTTTCAAGAACCAGTAATTTCGCACCTCCGGCCAAAGAATGTCAACTTAACACACATAATGTATTTTCTAGATTGTTGGTAATACAATATACTCGCTTCATTTCAACATCTACTTGCCCCTGCTAGGACGCATGGTAGCAGGATTTGGTGAAGGATATGCGTCAGTTATTTGGGCAGAACTAGCCAGAATCACAACTGAATAAGAACGTACTCGATACTTTACATTGGTAAAAGTAAGCTTCTTTTTGGGAGTTGTCTCAGGACCAGCATTAAACATCTTTCTAAAAGAGTTTGATTTCTACATCGGTAACTGGCACATTGATTTCTGCACATCGCCGGGATTTTTCATGGCTTTAATGTGGATACTAGCCACTGGTATCATGTTTGTATTTGTCTATGATCTCTCACACGAGATGAGAAAAGAAAGAGGGTATGAACCAGTTTCAGACGGTCCAAGTGAAGAACATTTTTCAAAAAAAGAGCAACTCCAAGAAGGGTATACAACGGAAAGCCCAGAGGACAAGGGCGATGATATGACGTCATCTCCGTTCATAAATGAAGACGTTATCAAAACCAAGGAAATAGATGATAACAGTATATTCCCAGATGACTCGAAGAAATCCAGCAGTGGGTTATTCCGAGATGCTGTAAGGGATATTTTTACCAAATTTCACGTGATTGTAGTGGTATATTCGACATTTTTCATTATCGTTCTCCATTCATCTCTTCAGGCCATCATCCTCTTGGTTGCTGAGCGCATGTTACACTGGAGTGAAGACAATGTCACTTTTCTATTTACAATCTGGAGTGTAGAAATCACCATCTTTGGAATTGTTCTCTTGATTCTGTCACGAAAAATTTCAGATCGACACCTCATTTTGATCTCCGCCATTTTTGGGTGCCTGGCATCCGTGGGTGTTATTCCGCTGGCATTCTCCTCCCCGACGTCTAACAGAGCGTACTATAGCTTGTTAGTAACAATTGCCTTGGATGGGATAGCATCAGCTGTTATTAATGCAGTCGGTCGTTCTTCAATTTCGAAGCACACTAATCCGGACAACCAAGGCATGGTGCAGGCGATACTGACTGTATTAAATAGACTGGCTTCAATTACAGGGCCGTTAATTGGTAGCAGTCTATTTACAC